GGCAAGTTTTCAGCGGGAAGCTTTCGGCATGCCCCTGAAGAGCGGGGCTGAACGAGCCACTGCTCCACCAGAAGCAGGCACACTACCACACTTCGGCTCCCGAGATGGTTTCGGAGCTCCCCCACAGCTAGGAGCTGCCAGAGGTCATCTCCCATCTAGGACGTGCACCACACGGGCAAGAGGAAGCTCTTTACCTGCATTCACTGTTCCCCTGCCATCCCTGCTGAGACGGGAGGAGCCTAGGAACAGAAAGAGAGTTACCGCTTCACTCTCAGGGAAGAGCTGCCTCACTTGGCACCCGACTCAAAGTCCTCTTGTCCCTGCAACCTCTTAGACAGCTTGAGAACGTTTCAGCCCCACTGGGAACTAGCACCAACACCGTCAGTTACGTCATTCCGCATCTACAGGCACAAGTGCGTTACTCAGAGGCAAAGCGCTTTGCTGCCGTAGACACAAGGAACGCTTCAACATTGACATGTAGGCTCTAGACAAGTTTCAGGGAGGGTTTTTCCCCACCACCACCACTGCAGAGCTGGCAAAAGCAACGGGCGCTCTCTTGTGCGAGCTGCAGCTTGTAAAAATCCAAGTGTAAGTTTCTTAAAAGTGAGAAAGCAGCTCTTTTTGTTCCCTCTGCTCAGCCGTACGGCACGCACAGAGGCAAGAATGTGCAGATGAGGCGCTGAGGGACATGGTTTAGTGGGCATGGGGGTGTGGGGTTGACGGTTGGACTCGATGATCTTAGAGGTCTGTTCCAACCTTCATGATTCTATGACTCTAAGAAGCAAAAACCTACCTGGGCACCGCTACGGGCAATTGGTTTGGATGATGTCTGGCCATCTGCTTTTTAGTGTTTGGTGTAGCGCCGGCTTTTTCCCTGAAGGGGCCCGAGGCCAAATTCTTTAGTCCGCAGTTCCTTAAAGAGAATTCTGTATGTCTTGACTGTGTCCACAAACCATTCACCGAGCGATCGCAACAGCTCTTTTACACTTAAAAAAACCCCCACCCCTTTGCGTCACTGCTCCCCGAAAAAAGGAAGGGCAGGAGGCTTGTGGAGATCTTTAAACCCGGGTCTCCCAACTGCCCACCTTCCCCCCTGCCCACTGGCCCATTCTGCCTCCCTTCCTAGGAGCCACTGACGTTTAACATCTGTCGCTTGACAGCAGCTCTCCCTGGGCACGTGCCCTCGCTCACGCACACAAAAAGACTTACTTTTTTACAGATCTCTTCTGAAGATCTTGGATATAGTTGGTTCTCTCTATAGGATGCCCTCGAGCCCTGTTGAACACTGGAGAGAGACAGGTCTGAGTTAAAGCAACGCCCCGTACAAGTCACCTTTGGGGCTGCAGAGCACTTTTTGGAAGGATTTTAACCCCTTCAAACCGATCCTTCCAAACTCAGGCCACATAAGGTGACTCCTTATGGCGTACCGCCCTTCGCACGACAGCCCGTGACAAGGCAGACAGGCGGGCAGAGCTGCAGCGCGGCACTATCCGACCAGCGCTCAGTGCCCCCCGGGTTCACTTAACCCTGGTTAGCTCCACAGTCGGGCCACAAACTTAATTCCTTCTTTCCAATCACTTCGCAGAACCCCCAACACCTCTCCTCCTCCAGCTCCCACTCTACACGACAGGAAAACGCACACAGGCACACAGCTAAAACACAGTTACCTCCCCAGAGTAGCCCAAACCTTTTGGCCATCTAAAAACCACGAGCCCATGACAAACATATCGCATCCGAACCAGAAGGACATACGCATACGTACACTCTATTGCAGTATTTGGCTCCATGCCTTCAACATCTATCAGGTACCTGAACAGATCAGCAAGAAAGCTCTAATTACACAATTAACTATGGAAACATTGACAGGTTAGTGATGATTCAAAAAAAGAACAACTGGGAAGTTTTTAGAGCTTCTATTTACACGCCAGAATGGAACATCAGCGTTTGGTCTGCTGAAACCGGGGATAAAAAGTGTCCCCTAACAATCACCCTCTCAAAGCTGAAAAGTTTTAAATCCTTGCAAGTCTGGGATCACGCAGGTCACTCGACTCTTGTTTTACTGGTGCAATGCTATTTCCTCCTGGAGCCACAAGGAGCTGGCAACGCCACCACTTCACTCAGTTTGACAAAGGACAACTCACCTACAAACCAGGTAGCCAGTTCTGTTTAAGCCATGTGTGCAATGAACTCCGATGAGTTTATCTGTAACACAGAACAATCAGGTTATATTTAAGTGCTCTTCCTCCGAAACCCAACCAGAACAAGCCCATTTGCATTCGTCCTCCAACAGTGACACTAGCGTAAACAAACAGAAACGACCACGCCACAACATCACCGTATTTATGTCTAATTAGCACCACCGATTCAGCTCATGAGCTCATTTAATTCCGGGAGCTCATCTGCACGGTCACACAGCTCACTGCAGGGAAGATGTATTTAAAAGCTCCGCAAAATGCTACCCCACATTTCCCGAGCACTAACAGCTTGCTGCTTACGCTGCTACCAAAAAGCAATCAGTATTTAAAGCCAGTCTAGAGACGCAGCCTCGAGCTTAATTAAAGCTCAACTCGCTGCCAAATTATCCGAGAGCCAGCGTGAATTCCTTGACCACAACAAACCAATCTTACTGCCTTGACGTTCACATGCCAAGAGAAGGAAAAGAAATTCATGCTGTTCATTAAAACATCACCGGCCTCCAAGTCTGCAGTGCCCTTCCCAACAACAGCAACGTGAGGGAAATCCACATTTACCATTGTCTTTGTTGTCTCTCAAAAACTTTTTTACAATGCATTTGAATTGAAAAATGGTGTGCCTGTTTGGTATTTCATGTCCCATCGTCAAGATCTTTGAGTAGCAGAGTGTGGCTGGGAGCTCCTGCAAGAAAGAAAGGCAATAATTTCCACAAGAAGCGCAAGGATTCTTATCAATTAGAGAACCACAGACCGTAAGCCAGAAGGAGCCGAGCTTTTCAACTAAGCCCAAAAGAGCAGCAGCACAGTTTTAGGTAAGAAAACTTCTGCTTCGCTCCCTTGACATAGCACCAATATTCCAGAGCAACCTGTTCGCATTTTTAGTTCTTGTGCCTTTGCTCTTTCCTCCCTGGGGAAGACGAAGCACACGCAGAGCACGGAACACCCTTCCAAGCAAGTATCCACGCATTGGATACCACAAGCCAAAGCTGGTTGTAATCAGCTCTTCACTCAGGAGAGCCTACAAAAACCAGCTTTAGGGTATCCCAGAACTTGTGCGGGTCGGTACAAAGAGGATCTGCACAATGGGGGTTGAAGGCAAGGACAGGCCTGTCCTTGATCGAAGACCCCATCCCCCTGCCAGAGGATCTGGGTGCCTCGCGCTCTTTAAAGCTCTCTTCTTGCAAGAAACATCTTCCACTTTATCAGCAATATCGGGGCTCACGCAGAGCTGCACTTCCCCAACAGTAAGACCAAGACTGACCTCTGGCCCGTAGTAGCGAGTTGTGTACGTCAGGTCAATGATCAGGCCCAGTTCTTCCTTCTGCTCTTTGATTTTCTTAATGAGGTCACGAGGCGAAAATCTCTCCTCTGGATGAAGGTTCTGATCAAAGCTCTGAGGGGAAATCATGTTTAAGAGCCGATATTAAACTCAGGTGCATTGCGACTGGTGGGAAGAAGTTCATGCGCCAGAACCTCCCAAAAATCATCCCTTCAAAGAGAAAGACGCAGGCAACGAGCAAAGGCAGACGGACACACGAGTTACACCGAGCGAAATCAAAACGTGCTCAGGCCCTCACTGCGTTGGGACTGTTCAGCTGAGGGTTTCCAGGAGTGACCGAAGACTTTATACCGTGGCAGAGCACTGCAGCGTTACAAACACACCCCAAAACTGAAGTTTTTGTTTGGTGAAAGCTATAAAATAGGCCTTCAGCTCAAATGGAGGTAAACAAACAGCACTGCTCCCCACCACGAGCTCCGCGACCCCCACGGACGTGAGCCAGTGTTTGTTTTGGGCGTAACTGCTGTGCTCAAACGACTCTGGAGCAGAGCTCGCCCCAGCACACACAGCGGCGGGGTCCTCCAGGCACAGGCTGGTGGGCAGCGGTGCCGCCACCACACCGACCCCTCACAGCCTCTGC